CTGGCAATGTCTGGAGGCATTCTCACTTGTCATGACTAGAGGAGGTGGCACTAGCACCTAGTGGGTAGCGGCCAGAGATGCTGCTAAACATCCTACGATGCACAGGACAGTCCCACAACAAAGAATTACCCAGCCCAAAATGTCTACAGTGCTGAGGAATAGAAGCCTTGACATAAAGCATTTAGAACAGCTCCTGGCACAAAGAAAGCCTTCTATATGCATCAGTTATTATCACCAATGCCGAAGGCAAGTCTTGGGTGGTGTCCCTCCCTTGGCTAGAGAAAAGTCTAATGCCCTCTGTGTTACCTTTGAGGAATTTAACATATAATTAAAGTATAAAAAGGTACTTGAAATTCTGGTTCTACGTCATTAATTTAATAAGTGCTTAATTTAAAAAAATAATTCTAAGAATATATTTTCCTGAAACAAAAAGCAACCAAGAATATACTTCGGTGAGCAATAATGCAAAATATTTTAAAAGTATACTGTCCTGGAAAATAAAGGACACAGAAACCCATGATTACTGCAACTTACAAGGTCCTGGGCCAAACTCCTCCAAACTCCAGCTTGAACACTGAGGATGCTTGCTAGTGTCACAATACTATTTTGAAAACTGTAACTAGAAAGGAAGAAGAGAAGGGTTTTAAACTAAAGAGCCTACTGAACTTGATATCATACCCATGCCTTATTCAGGAAGATCCTCCAGGCTTAAATAGCTCAGAGTCAGAGATTCCTGGTGAGAGTTAAAGCTTTCATCTTAATTCACCACAAGAGGTATCTTCCAGATCCAGGTCAACTCATAAATAAAGCAAGCAAAACAATCAGAAAGGCCTGAGCTATACTGACACATCGGGTAAGAGGCTGCCAGGAGTTCCAACACAGGACATCAGAACCGATAACAGCCTGCTACAAGTCCCTGAAGCCATGAACCAAGTGTACTGACCAGGCTTCTTAGCCAAGCACTGCAAGTAACACAGGGCTAGTCTCTCTGGGCCTCAGTTTTCTCATCTGTCATATTAAAAAGTAGAAATTGTTGTTACTGTTTTCGAACGTCATAAACACAGAGAACACTGATTTTATTTGTGACAGTGTGCATTCAACATTTATAGCACAAAGACATGAGTTCCTCTCAAAGGACCCCTTGATAATTGCAGAAAGCAGATCCTTAACTAAAACAGAAAAGAGGTTCTGTGGAATCAAAGCTGAGAAAAGCCTAACAGTGTGTCTCTCAAAAAAAAAAATGATAAAAGTGTAAATAAAACAACAGGGCTCTACAATCTGCAAAAAAACTGTATGTATATAACACAAATCGTCAAGTTTTTTAAGCTCTGGTCAACATATATTTTAACACCTGTGTATATAATAGTGCATTACCAAAGATATCAGGATTGGTAACAGGTGTTGAAGAGAGACTCCCAAAAGTGCTAGGAGAAAAGAAGGCTTCTGTTAAAGAGACACAGGAAATGCTTTACTGACAAAGCAGCATTTGAGTGGGCTTAGGTAGAATTTTGGCTGGCTGAAGTTGTCTATCCAGAGGGCATTCCAAGCGCAGCAAGTAATGGCACTGAAGCTGGAAAGCCTAAGGCAAAGACCAGGAGTCCAATTAGGGACACTGGGCACACAGCAAAAGATGGTGGTCAAATCATGATGACCTGGGTCTTCAGAATGTGGGTATTAGTTGCATGAACAATCTTAAATAACAGAGATAGTCAGAATGTCCAGTTTTGTTATTTTGGCCTAAAGAGCACAAAGTTGCTTTTACTTAAACTTAAGGATCTTCCAATATATTTTTTAAAAGATAGTAATTCCATTAAATTTATTGTAAAGAAAAAGATAAGTTCTATTAAGTTACAGGATAGTCAAGAAGACATACAGAAAGTAAATTAAGCTATTTATTAGTCTGTTATTATTCCTCTACCATATTCTACTCATAATTACTAAAATAAGCAAACCTTAGAAATAAATAGTAGGTATTTTAAAATTTTAAGACCATTGTAACAGCTTTCTCAACCATATTAATTTATAAACTGATTTTGACTTATTTTTAAACATAGTACTAAGAAAGAGAAGTTACATTACTGACCTAAGGGCTTTCTCAATTACAGGAGGAAACTCTACTTGCTAAGAGAAACTATGAGTTAGCAAACTCTAGGCAATATTCCCCTACTTCTAACCATAAGGTTAAGGCTCGGAAAACAGTAACACATTTTAAACTCCTTTTCAAACATTTCTAAAATTAAAACAAAAATTTAAAAGTCATTTTTAAACCACAGCTTTCTATTAACAGAAAATGGACTCATCCAGAAAGTTTATATACCTATTCATTGTTTAGAAAAGGGAAGGAAAATAAGGCAAAGGATTATTGTAGCCCAAGAAGAAGCAACGTCTCATCTTTTTAAAATTAACTTTTACAGATTTATGGACAGCAAATTCATGATGTTGAAATATTATATTTTTATCTATACAGAAATATCTTGATAGGGGACTTTCATGAGGAAATATAGCAGAAAAAACACTAGCCTCAAAATGAGCAGGGTGAAAATTTGGTATCAGTTTGGCCATTATCTGCATTATTTTAAAATTCACTGACTTTCTGTGGGCCTCCACAGCCCCAGCTCTAAACTAAGAGTGATGAATCACGTGATCTCTAAAATGCCACATCATAAAACATAATTTTAAGTAATAGAGGCTTGTGGCTACCCAGGGTAGCAAGGTCGGGGGTATGTGGGAATATGGGGGGGTGGGATACAATGAATTAGGCTTTGGAGTAAAGCTAACAGCAGTTCAAATCCAGGCTCCATCAGTAGTAGCTCAGTAGTTGAAGTGTAAGTTTCCTTTACTATCAAAAAAGCCTTAGTATTTTCCTTTGCAACATGTTGGAAGAAATAGAATGTATGTAACATACCTGGCATACCATAGGTACTAAATAAAGGCAAGTGTTATGTTCCTGGTCAGTAATACAAGGTCTAATGCAAAACAATAATCTACTTGCCAATGCAGCTTCCTAGAATTTGGCTTGGAGAAGAGCAGGGACCAACTGCCCTGCTTTCCAAGTGGACGGCAGGTACAGGTAATAAGAAAGAGGATTCACAGTTGGAAGTAGCAAGGATTAAAAGCAGGGAGCTGAAAAAAGCAAAGGCTTTGAGTTCCGCACATAACAATGGAAAGGAAAGGAAACAAACTACATGGGGTAAGGTGCTGCAGGAAACAAGATCTTTTCATTTAAGAGGGCCTCTGGAGAAAAAATACATACACAATGAATTACTGCAATGATCTCATAATGAAAACAAAGCACAAAGTTGGTTAGAGTTTATGAGTATCACTAAAAGAAAACAAGACTTTGCAACATACAAATTATCCTTCCCTTGCCTGCCTGTAATTCTCACATGGGATGCAAGATGATCCAATCCCTGTACACCTCTCCAGTGTCACCTCTGACCACTGTCCCCTCACCTGACCCTACCCTAGGTTCACTCAGCTCCAGCCACATGGGATTCCCTTTGTCCCTGGAACATGCCAAGTTCATTCATCCTTTAGTTCCTTTGCACTGTTTATATCTCCGTAGAAATTTCCAGCCCATTTTCTCTTGGCTTACTCAGCTAAACATTCAGGTATCACCAAAACCGTCACCTCCTCAGGGAGGTCTTCCCTGACCACTCCATTTCTTCACACACCCCAGTCACTCTCAAGCTCCTTACCCAATAATATCTTTTCTGACATTTATTCCTATCTAAACTTATCTTTTTTATTTACATGTTTATTGTATTCTTCATCAAAAGTTAAAATCTTTGAGGGCAGGGGCCTTATCTAAACCGCTCACTACACAATCTCTAACACCTATAACAATGGGTGGCATAGACAGTCATCAGATAAAGTGTCCAATGAATAAATCCAAATGATGTTAATCACCATCCTTCTGTGAACATTAAGATAATATCCCTCAGAGGCTGTTTAATTTCATTTCTTTCACGCCGTTTTAGGCAATGCAATAATGCAGTTTTAAAAGATCAGTGACACAGCTAGATTTTAAAGAGAATGACTTCTACATGCAACATATTGTACATGTTTTCACATTATGAACATTAATAATCCACCACCTTAACTATCAGAATGCATAAATAAAACGATACCATAAGTTGTCTGGTGAGATCCTGCTTCTAGAAAGAGGCGTATGCATAGATGGTACATAGATGGGAATTACCTTTCAGAACTCTTCCTAACAAGGAAATGTAGCAAACTAGACTAATTTGAGTAAAGATTTAATTAGACTCGTTACTCTGTTACCTGCTAAACTTATCCTAACTAGTACTGTGTCAAGTGATGAATTCAGTGATTCCATCTGTGAAACAGAGGACAAATGACATAGTGAACAAAGAAAAGTTCCACAATGTCAACCCATGTTTGAACTAAAAGAGAGAGAGAGAGAGAAAAGAAAAAAAACCTAACCCTAAATCAGAAGTAATCAAGCAACTAAGATTTCACAAAATGGTGAGATATCTATGAATAGGCAAAGCACTGAACTGAAAACACAACGAGAACATTCATGATTCCTGCTTTTATTTTTGTTTTGAACACGACTTTCCTCAATGAATACAAGAGACTCACAACCGCCTGTGTCTGGACAACCCACGCATTACACCCAATCACCAATTCCTGGTCCCTCTGGAGGGCCCATAGCGCCAGCACGAGGTCGACCCCACCGGGGACTCATCTGGGTCCGCAAGCTGGAGGAATGGGGACCACCATCCCTGAATTCCTGCCCACGCCCTGGGAGCAGCTGGGCTCACATTCTGCAACTTCACTTTTGTGTCCATTATGAGCACAGCCTGCCTGGCCCCTCCTCCTCCCCCGGATGCTCGCGCAGGACTCAGTAAACAGAACAGGATCGGGCTATGGACTCCGTTGGCTAGTCTCCTGTGAGCAGCCCCCATGCAAGTCCTCTGACCCGGGGGACTCAGTTTTCCAACCTGTCAAATAGGGGAACAAGAAACCCAGCCTACCTCAACGGGTGGTTCCGGGCCGGCCGCCCCAGGCTGGCCCGGGAACTGCGGCTCCGCGGTCGCGCCCGGGCCTGAGGGGCGGGGCTCGGCAGGGCGGGACCCGGGACACAGTCCACCGGGCAACACACAGCCCACCGCCCGCACCCAGAAGCCCTGGGACCTCCGGACTCGTGACGTCAGCACGCTGACGTCGACGCACAGAACTCGCATCTCGCTCGAGGTACCAAAGACCCGGCTGGGGCCTGAGTGGCTCCTTAGAGGAGCTAACCGATTGGTCAGATGACCTGTTAATCTTTCACTGACCAGTAAACGACGTGGAAAGGAGGCAGAGGGCGGGCCGGCCTGCCTGGAGGATGGGTGGGAAACCTGGGAATCCAGCTTTGAAAGACAGAGCTGGTTGGACTTTCCCGCATTTTGCATCACGTCGGTTTAATAAGCGTTCGCTTCCTCTTCGTCCGCGACTCTGCGCCTTCCGCTTTCCTTCAGTCATTCGCTGGGGGTCTATGCTTCAGCTTGTGGGAATGAGTTTCAGGGCCCCTTGGGCACCTCCTGCTGAACCCTTCAGGAATGAAAACAGAGCATACCATTTCTGTGCCGGTACTCATCCCAAGAGTCACCTCTTCTGTCACCTCCCCCAGACCTATTTAGGACACCCTTTCTCTGCGCTCCTAGTTTGTAACTAACATCTCTAAGAGGTAGTCACATTTAATTATAACTATATGGCTGTTTTCCCACGAAGTTGGGCATCTTTTATTGTTTTATTTAAAATTTAATTAAACTTTTCTGCCAAGAGATGCTGCCGTTATTCACATTTTTAAAAGTACAGAGGTATACAGTGAACATTCTTTGGCTCCCCATTTGCTTATTTTAAATTATACAAATAAGATTATGTACATGCAAAAAAAAGTTTAAACATTACAAATTATGCTTATGTCCCTTTCAGGCACTAATTACAGCCCAGTCCCTAGATGATGACTCCTAGTTCCTGTGCATTTGTAAGTGTACGTGTTATTTTTTTACACTCAGCATTGAGATCTTTCCATATCTATACATAAATCTACCTCATTCTCTGAAAATGCTGCATGCCTTCAGAACCAATATGTGTGTGTGTGTGTGTGTGTGTGTGTATAAAATTAATGTATCATTTCCCCACCCTCAGATATGTTTGGTTATTAATATGAGAATCAGTGCTACCATAAACACATGTGTAAGTGCCTTTTTGTACTTATGTCCAAGTATTCTCTAGAGTACAGATACCAACAAGAGAATGTACTGGATCATAGAGTATGCATGACGTAAATCCTTAATAGAGTTCACTGACTTGTTCCCTTGACTAGTTGTTATAACTCACATTCCTTACCCCTAGTATTTGAGCAATCTTTTCCCTGTATCCTTGCCAAAATTGATAAAATACAATTTAAAAAATATTTCTAAACTGATAGCTGTGAAAACCTTTTAAAGGATAACACATATACAAAATAAGTGAAATAATCATAAGTGCTTGTCTTGGTGACAGTGTGAGCAAACTTGTGTAACAACGCCTCATACCAATATTTTAAATGTTTACCAGCAACATGGAAGCTTTCCTCATGCTCAGTCTTAGTCATTATGTCCCAACACACAAGTAGCCACAATTCTGAATCCTATCACCAAATTAGTTTTGCCTTCTTTTGAATGTTTATAAATAACCATACATAGTATGTGCTCTTATATGGCCCTCTTTGCTTAATACTATATTTGTAAGATTGATGAATATTAAAGAATGTAATAGTTTCATTTTCATTTTTGCATATAATTCGAAAATTTACTTGTCTATTCTACTGTTGTTTGACATTAGGTTATTTAATGTTTGGGGTAATTACAAATGATACTGCTATGAATATTCTAGTAACTGTCTTATGATGCACATAGTTACACATTTGATTTTGGAAGATCCCTAAATGTAGTATTATTCTGCACAGGACATATTTTCAATATACTCAACATTAGTAGACACTGCCAAATGGTTTTTATGTTTTACTAATTTATACATGCACTAACTGTGAATGAAAATTTCAGTTACTCTGCATCTCTGTCAACACTTACTATACTCATTTGTGTTTTGTGTCCTTCCTTTTTCTTCTCCTTTTTAAATGTTATACATTCTGGTGACTATGTAGAGGTGTCACATTGTGGATTTAATTGCCTTTACTCAAGTGTAGCCTCTGGAGTCTCAGAGAAATTGATGGAAACCACTCCTGAGGAAGCCCAGATATTAGACTTACTAGACAAAATTTAAGTCAACTATCTTACGTATACTCAAAGAACTAACAGAAACTATGAACATAAAACCTGAAGGAAACTAGGGGAATGATGTATAAACAAAAGGAAAATACCAATAAAAAGATAGAAATTATCAAAAGGAACCAAATAGGAAATCTTGGGCTTGCAAGTACAATAACTGAAATGAAAACTTCACTTCAGAATTTCAAGAGACAATTTTAGCATGTCAAAGGATGAATCAGTGAACTTGAAGATAAGGAAAATGAGCAAAGCCTAAGGGACCTATGGGACATCAACAAGGATACCAAAATAAATATTACAGAAGTCACACAAGGAAAAGAGAGAGAAAAAAAGAGAAAGTACATTAGAAGAGAAAAATGTCTCAAAATTCTCCAAATTTGGAAAGAAAAAGAGAAAGAATATAATTAAAGTCAGAAATGAAAGTGGAGACATTATATAACCTTATAGAAATAAAAAGGATTATAAGATACAACTGTGAACAGTTGTGTTCTGAAAAATTAAATAACCTGAATGAAAAGGACATGTTCCTGGAAACACACAAATTACCAAAACTAACTCAAGAAAAAATAGGAAATATAACCAGATCTATAACAAATAGATTTAATCAGTCCTTTAAAAACAACTGCAACAAAACCTAAAAAACAAAAGTCAAAGACCAGATGGCTTCACTGGTGAATTCTCCTGGACATTTAAAGAAATAACACCAATGCTTTTCAAATTCTTCCAAAAAATTGAAGAGGAGGGAACATTCCTAACTGATTCTATGAGACTAGTAGTAGTCTCAGTTAGGAATGTTCCCTCCTCTTCATCCAAAGCCAGATGAAGACACCATAAGAAAAAGAGAGACCAATATTCCTGTAGGAATGTAGACTCAAAATTCTCAACCAAATATCAGCTATTTGAGTCCAAGAGCATATTAAAAGATTATACACTATGATCAAGTGGGTTGTATCCTAGGAATGCAAGTGTGTTCAACAAAAGAAAATCAGTTGATTTAACACATTGTAATAATAAAATGAAAGAAACCATATGATCACGTCAGTTGACACAGAGCATTTGAAAAAAATCAACATTGTTTCTTAATAAAAACACTCTGAAAAATAAGAAGAGAAATTCCTTAACCCACACCTAACATCATACTCAATAGTGAAGTAAAGAAAGCTTCCCCCCACGATCAAGAATAAGACAAGGATGCCCCCTTTTACCACTGCTTTCAACATTGTACTGGAAGTTCTAGTTAGCGCAGTTAGGCAAGGAAAAGAAATAAGCATACAGATTAGAGAGGAAGAAGTAAAACTATCTCTATTCAGAGACAGCATGATCTAGGAAATCCCAAGGAATCTGAAAAAAACAAAAACCACACAACTAGAACTAATAAATTAGTTTAGCAAAGTTGCAGGTACAAGATCAACACGAATCTCAGTTGTATTTCTATGCACTAGTAATGAACAAGCTGAAAAGAAAATTAAGAGAATGTCATTTATGCAAGTGTTCAAAAATTATATTTTTGAATATAATTTATAATTTTTGAAATAAATTTAAACAATGAAAGACTTGTATACTGAAAACTAAAAATCATTGCTAAAAGAAATTTAATACCTAAATAATTGGAATTGCATATTGTATTCAAGAGATTGAAGACAATATAGTTAAGATGGCGATACTTCTAAACACCATTGTTAAATAATCAGGAGGCCATTGACCTGATGCTGTCTCCATACTTTGAGCTCCTTCATAATGTGTTGCAGTCTAACTTAGTACATAAAGAAACAACTTGGGAGTCAGATCTTTGTAACACATAGCCTGATCTTAACAAATCACAGGCAGCCAACTGATGAGACCATGTCCATGTCAGTCAGATGTCTAGCTCTAACCAACTGAGCTATTTCTGCACTTTACATCATGTTCTGTCTATACTCACTGCCCATGTTGCACAGTGGAGCTCTGAGCCTCTTCTATTCTGAATGCTGCCTAATTCATGAATCTTTCTTTGCTCAAATGCTATTAAATTCAATTTCTCAAAAATTTTTCTGTTACTATCATCGGCAGATGCAGTGAAATCTCTGTCAAAATTTCAACGGCCTTTGTACAAACAGGGAAAACAATAATTTTAAAATAGCCAAACAATCTTGAAACAAAACAAAGTTAAAGAATTCATATATTTTTACTTAAAAACTTACAAAGAAGCTATGGTAATCCAGAAGGTGTGACACTATTATATGGAGACATATAGATCGTTGAGAGACCAGAAATAAACCCATACAACTATTTCCAGTTGATTTTGAACAAGGGCATCAAATGGAAAAATGGTAATCTCACCAACAAATGGTGTTAGTGCAACTGTAAATACATAAGCAAAAGAATGAAATGAGACCACCTACCTTACTCCATTTACAAATATTAACTCAGAATAGGCCAAAGAATAAATACCAGAGCTAAAACCATAAACTGTTAGAAGAAAACTTAGGGGTAAATCTTGGTAAATCTTTGGATTTGGCAATGGATTCCTTGGTAGCAGAACAAAATCATAAACATCAACAACAAAAATTTTGCTATTAACTGTACTCATCAACATTAAAAAGGCTTTGCATCAAAGAACATTATCAAGAATATGAAAAATCAATCTACAGAATAGAAGAAAACATTTGCAAATCTAACTGATAAGGGTCTAGTATTCAGAATATATGGAGAACTCCTCAACTCAATAACAAAAAGACAACAAAGCTAAAAGGAAAATAAACAGAATAGACATTTCTTCAAATAAGATATACAAATTGCCAACAAAACATGCAAATACAATCAAAATCATTAGTCAATAGGGAAATGAAAATCAAAACCACAATGGAGTACTATTTCACCGCCACTAGAATGACAAGAAATTGGAATCCTTGTGCATTTCTGGTGAGAATGTAAATAGGGAGGCTGCTATGAAAAATATTTTCGTTATTCATCAAAAAATTAAACATAGATTTACCATATGGCTTATAATTTTCATTATATACCCAAAAGAATTAAAAGCATATACTCAAACAAGTGTACGTACACATATGTTCATAGTATCACCATTCAACAAGAGCCAAAAGTTGGAAACATCCCAAATATACATCAACAGATTAATGGACAGAAAAAACATATGATGTATGCATACAGTGGAATATTATTTAGCATAAAGAGGAACAAAATGCTGAAACTTGCTACAATGTGGTTAAACGTGAACATTATGCAAAATGAAAGAAACCAGACACAAGAGATTACATATTTTATGATTCCATTTATATGAAATATTCAGAATAGGTAAAGCCGTACAGACAGAATACATATTGGTGCTTATCAGGGTCTGGGAATAGGGGGAGGATGGGAGAAAGTGCTTACGGGATAAGGGGTTTTCCTTTGGGGTGATGAAAATATTTTGGAACTAGATGGAAATGGTAGCTGTACAACATTTGAAATACACTAAGTAAACACTAATGGATTGTTCACTTTCAAATGGTTAAGTTTATGTTATGTGAATTTCAACTCAATTATAAAACATTAATTTAGTGGCCCAACCACTACAAAAAAAAAATGTGTTCAGAAGAGGTTTTTTCTCCTTCCCAAACTTCCATGGACTGAGGTAGAAGTGAGATCTATAGATATTGTAAATATGAAAGAACTGTCTAAATTACTTGAAATATTTGCAATGTTCCACTTAAATTATGACAGTGTAAAAATTGAAATTACTAGGGAAAGTTCTACCATTATATCCCTAATTCATCTGCCACTCACCCTGCCACTTTGCATTTTAAACTAGGTTTACCTTTTGTTTGCTGCTCCAGAACTGGGGCTTAGAAATATTTGTTGAATAAAATGATGCAATTAACATACTAGTTTATAATTTCTTGAAAATACAATAATTCTTTCAAATCCATTCTCTATACAGCCCCTACTGAATCCATATGAGACTGATGAAAGCCTGAAGTTTTGCAAGAAAAACCTTGATAAGGGAAATCAGTAATACCCATTAGGGTAGATGGAAAAGGAGTTTTAAATATTTAATCTATTAAAGAAGTAGAATTGACAAAAGCTGACAATTACCTTTGTTTGGGAAAATAAAGGGGTGGGGAAATGTTGATTGGTTAAGCAATTTTGACATTAACTTAAACCAGGAATTCAGGAGGAAGGCTATAAACTCACTCTTGAACAGTTCATGTCTGAGATAGGTGTAGTTCATCTGGATGTTTAGAAGACAACTAGATGATAAACCTGGAGAGCTGGGGAGAGACATCATCATGTGTATGGGGAGAGTGCACAGATTGAAAAGGAAAGAGCACCAATGGTAGAATCTTGGGAATACCATTATTTAGAGTAGGCCGAAGCAGAAGAGACCAAAAGGAAACATGGACATGGTGAACTCAGGTCAGAGAAGAAACAGAGAGAGAAGTCATGGTTGACTAGAAAATATAGTGTCCTGAATGTGAAGTGATAAAGATTTTAAATCAAGTAATAAGTGATATGGAGCAAAAATTAAGAGAACACAGAATAGAAATCCTAACAGAATGACACGAATATTTGAATATTTACTTAAATAGACCAATTGCAGTTTTAATCTTCAAAGATATAAGTGATATAAAGCAGTAAGATAGTAAGTGGAAGAAGGAGAAAGACAAGCATTATGGGAAAAAATGGAGGGAGCAATGTGTGAGTCTACCATTAATTCAATCTTGACTGCATGTAAATTCCTATAGAACTTACTGAAAATTCAACTTCAACTGCAGCAATATAACTATCAGAAGTGGAAAAGACAGAGCTAATGATGATTTATGAGCCCAGAGCTAATGTTAGAGCTTTGTAGAACTTTGCCAACCCAAACCATCAGTAAATTTGGTCATTTCCATCCTATTCTCTCCTTCTCTGAGGGATTTGATTGCATTATGGTGAAGCAGTTTAGCTCACTGCGGTCTGTCATGTGACACAGGACCACAACTCCCATCTGAATCCTCTCCTGCTTCACTGAGTGAGTCAAGACAGCCAGGAAGGAGGCACTCTCTGCCACTGTGACTCACCATGCATGGGACTGAGCTGGTGTACCGGGGAGGGAGCTGCTGCATCTCTCTGACTTGTGGACCCAGTGTTAGCCAAAGCTGGTCAAACCACCAATTCCACACTTCAAATTAGGCCTCTGACTTGCAAAGCTGCCAAGAAGTCATACAGAGGTCATTGGTCTATTCTTCCCAGCTATGTTTGTAAAGATTTCACACAGTTTATGTTGGCAAGAAGATGCTCCTGAAGATTCTAGTGGTAACGTGTGAGGAAGGGCCAACATAATGGCAGAAT